CTTCAATAATTCTTAAATTATCCCTCCTTTTTCTATTTTCCAGGTCAGTTGTTTTTCCAATAAGATATTTCCTATTTTCTTCCTTTTTTTAATTATTTGGATTATTTTTGTGGTTTCTTAAGGTCTCATGGCATTCTTAGCTTCCACTTACCCAATTCTATTTTTTAAGAAATTATTTTCTTCAATGAGCTTTTGTACCTTCTTTTCCATTTGGTAAATTCTACTTTTTAAGGAGTTCTTTTTTCACTGAATTTTTGAACATCTTTTTTTTTTCTTCTTTATGTCCAATTCTGCTTTTTAATGATTTCTTTGAGCTCTTCCAGGAATTATTTTTGGGTCTGAGACCATTTTTTTGAAGCTTTGGATGTAGTTGTTGTCTTTGTTGTCTTCATCCCAGTTTGTATTTTGATTTTTCCTGTCACCGTAGTGACTTTCTATAATCAGGTTCTTAAGGAAATAAAGGACAAGTTAAATACATGGAAGACTCTTAGGTATTTATGGTAGACCAGGAAAATATAAAAAAAATGCTACCAAAATTTATTTATAATTTTGATGTTATGGTATTCAAATTATCAAAGAGATACTTTATGTAATTTGATGAAATTTTAAAAATTCATTTGGAGAAATAAAATATCTAGAATATCAAGGAAAATAATGAAAATGTTAGAAATAATAGTGATAGCACTTCCACACCTAAAAGTACATTATAAAACAATGTCAACCAAACCATTTGGTACCAGTTTAAAATAGTAAAATATCCCAATGAAACAGATTAGACAAAGGAGACCAGTAAGTAATGAAAATCAATAAATCAATGTTTGATAAACTCCCTAATATAAATTATTTGGGAAAGATTTTTTAGATAAGAACTGCTTGAATTCATTCAGGCAGAATGTAGGCTTAGACAAGTACAATATACCATATTCCAAAATAAATGCAAAATGGAATCACAACCTTAATATGGAGGATCATATAATTTTAAAAACTGGAAGAAAAAAAGAATCATAATTTTTTCTATTTTTGGTAGGGAATGTATTCTTTTTAAAATACATTTTTTTCATTCAACAAGACTTTGTTTTTTCTCCTTCCTCTTATCTCTTTACAAACATGTAAAATAAAAAAATCATATATTGGCCATGCCTCTCCCTCCATTTTTTTCTCAGTTTGTGCTCTGAGTACAGTACATCTCTATCAGTACATAATTAACATGGTTCTGTTGAGTCTTCTTCAATCATTGTTGATTGCTACATGAATCAGAGTTCCCTGTCCTCATACTATATTATTGTCACTGGTTCTGTTTTGTTTATTTCTCTATGTCATTTCATATAGGTCTTCCCACATTCCTAAGAAACCACCCCTTTTTATCATTTCTTTTTTGTTTTTAATTTAGTATTTCATTTCCTCCATTTACATGTAAAAAACAATTTTAACATTCCTTTTTAAAATTGTGAGTTCTCTCCCTTCCTCCCTTCCTACATCCCCTCATTGAGAATTCATACAATTTGATATAGGTTATACATGTGTAGTCATGCAAAATATTTCCACAATAGGCATGTTGTGAAAGGAAACACAGGGGAAAAAAGCAAACTCAAGAAAAATAAAGTTAAAAAATATGGTTCAATCTGTATTTGGGCACCAACAGTTCCTTCTCAGGGGATGGATTGCATTTTTCATCATAAGTCCTTTAGAATCTTCTTAGATCATTCTATTGCTGAGAAGATCTAAGTCATTCATAGCTGATCACTTCATGATATTGCTGTTACTTTGTACACACTATATTTTACTTTGGATCAGCTCATGTAAGTCTTTCCAGAGGGCATCTGCTCATCAATTCTTATGGCACAATATTATGTCATCATAATCACATAGCAAAATTTGTTCAGTCATTCCCCAATTGGTGGGCATCCCCTTAATTTCCAATTCTTTGACAGCAGAAAAGAGCTGCTATAAATAATTGTGTACATATAAGTTCTTTCCCTTTTTTATCTCTTTTGTGGTACACATGTGGTACTGGTATTTTTATAGAATTTTTTGTATAGTTCCAAATTGCTCTACAGAATGATTGAATCAGTTCATAACTACACCAACAGTACATTATTGTCTCATTTTTCCCACATCCTTTCCATCAATGGTCATTTTTTTTTCTGTCCTATTAGCCAATCAAATAGGTATGAGGTAGTACCTCAAAATTTTTTTTAATTTACATTTCTTCTAATTAATAATCATTTAAAGCATTTTCATATGGCTATAGGTAGCTTTGATTACTTCATCTGAAAACTGTTCATACCTTTTAATCATTTATCATTTGGGGAATGACTTTCTTATAAATTTGACTCAATTCTCTGTATATTTGAGGTTCTATCATAATGTGGCACGAAAAGGGACTTTTCAGGACTGAAGGGTATTCTAAAATGTCTTTGTTTCATGGAGTACAATAGCCAAAGAATTCCAGTCCACTGGCCAACCTGCTAATAAAGAACCTTTCCATACATAGTTAGGCTGGTCCTTCGACAAAATCTGTCACGAGAACTTTGAGACTTCCTACTACTATATTACTTCAAAGAAAGTGTTTTGTTTTGCCAGAGACTGAAGACCAAGGGAAAACTGTAATTAAATAATTGAAGCTAAAATTACTCTTTTAAGGGTATAATTAAAGAAGTGTTTCCTGTGCCCCTAGTGAATCTAAATCAAAGATGCTCAAAATATTCTAATTGCAAATATTTCTTTCACCACTGTGATGAACAATAGTGTACTATAAGACATTAAAAAACCAATCTGAGAACTATATTTGATCCATATGAATGAAAATAATTTTGTCTTTCTTATACTTTATAATAGTTTGTGATCTAATATTATTGCCCCCTTGATTTTATTTCTTTATTTGATGCTCTATATGCTATTTAGAAGTTGCTTATAATCAGAACTCTGATTGACATGTCAGTCCAATAGCTATCCCTGCAAATTACTTGGTATAACAATAAAAGTAACTTGACAGACTTTCAAAAATGTAGATTAAATATTTTTTTCCTCCAGAACTAGTATGGCCTTTGAATATCCAAAATCATCTCCATGCTATGATAAGACATCAACTAAAACTTCTGGAAAGGATGTATCAGAAATATTTAGACTGAGTGAAAAAATAAATGTATATTATTTCTGTATATTCAGAGGTTTCTCAAAGGAGTGTGCAACAATGTACTTAGGATTCTCATGTTTCATTGTACTATAAGTAATGTGAGATTTCAGTTAATTATGAAAATACCCAATAAGTTTGATAATTAAATATCACTGGGTTTTTATAATATACAAATATTCTATAGGTTTTCTGTCATGCTACCTTAATAGGTATATTCCTCAGGCAAAGATACTATCATACATGTGTTCTGCACTGTTTCTTTCATACTATAATTACTTAAATAATCTATAACCAAAGTTTATATAAAGAACATAAATATAACACATTTATGTTTTTAAAGTGTTCCAGTGGTCATAAATATGTGTGTGTGTTTGTATTATGTATATTTATGTGTATGTATTATATATATATATATATAAAGTCTGTTAAAACAATTACATTTACATAATATTTTATTACAAATGATATAACATTTCTTTATACATGTTTGAAATTTAATAGCTTATGCCAAGATTTTTGAAACATCTTTTATATACTTATCATTAAACAAACTTCAGTATTTTAAAAATTGGTCATTTCAATAGCTTGAATATCCTCTCTCCCAATATAGAGCATAACCCCTTTCATGTTAGTATGTGATCATCATGAGTAGCTATAGCCTAAAAATAATAATTTCGAGGTGACTAACTTTCCACAGTTGATCTCCTCTAAACATAGCTAGGCTGGACCATGGTTAACAGCTATACAAAATCTTTTTAGATCCATACTAAAATAATTTCAGTTTGGTAAGACTTGCCAGACTTTGTGTTCTCTAATGACATATGCCTACATGTCATAATGAGCTACAAGAACAGGATTTTCATGAAGGTTCCTTAAATGACAGTTTTTAATAATTCAAAAGATTTATGGTCTCATCTATGTGGCCACTCTCCTGTATTATATAGATCATAATATAACTGTGACTTCTTGTCCTGAGTTTCTACTGTCCATAGCCTCCCATAAATCCCATATAAACTATTCATCTAAAATTCTAAGAACTTTCCTTTAGATCTTTGGGTCCATGTCATGGACACCAAGGTAGAAAATATCCTATTTATTTCTTACAACTAATTTTTATTAGATGACCTGCTCATCTCCTTTTCTGACCAACCATCTTTTATACAATATCTTTTTATATCACTGCATGTAGATTGTTATTGTTATTGCCAGTGTTTTAATTATTTTCTCTCAACTTACAGGTGACCCATTATTTTAATGCTTCAAAAATAACAGTATTCCATGATTTAGAACCAAAGCATATCACTAAAAGAATATTGGTTTTTAAAAAGATGAGGGTTTGTTTAGGGAAAAGCATCTTTAAACAGCAATAGCAATAAATGCATAATTCAATCAGAATCTTCAAGTATACATTCCTAATTGTGGAGTTTTTAGACTTACCTTTTAGTACTAATGTAAAAGAGGATACTTACAAATGTTAGTTGGAATAGTGATCATTTAAAAGTAAATTTTGATTGTATCAATAGCTAATGTAACATATAATATAATTATATAATATAATCTATATTATAGATTATGTGTGATGTTATCTATGCTATAAATTATAACATAATTATATAGTTATATAATATATTATGTAATGATTATCATTAGCAAATTTAGTCAATGATAAAAATCAATAATTGTTGAATTTTAAAAAGGAAGAGTTTGTGTGAATGGCATTTTAAATTTCTGCTTGGGACAATGTATACTAAAGGAGTCATTGCAGTTGTATGAAAATACTATGAGTTAGAAAAAATGTTTAATTATACTGATTACATATGTTTATTTTGGTTTAAATATAACTTTATTTTTCTGTCATTTCTAGCTGTAAACACAAGATGTACCTGGAGAAGCTGCCAAACACTAGCATCATTATTCCTTTTCATAATGAAGGTTGGACTTCTCTTCTGCGCACTATACACAGTATAATTAACAGGACTCCAGACAGTCTGATAGCTGAAATTATTCTAGTGGATGACTTCAGTGACAGAGGTAAGATCAAATAAATAACTTCTAAATTGAATCTATTACAGGCCCCATAATTGGGTATGAATGGAAATGTTGATGCAAGGATTATAAGATGATTTCATTCAAGCTGCTTCCAGAAAAAAAAAAGATTTTGATGCTTTGGGTGTTTTGTAATCTGATGAAATGGTAACCAAGGGCAATGTGGCAGTGCTCATAGTATTGTTTGTAACCTTTGATGGTTGAATTGATTAGGATTGCCATCTGTGGAAACTAAGGTGGACTTTAATTAAAATTGACATATATGCATGAAACAGCTTTGATTTACTGTTTAGATTCAAGATAGAAACTGAATTGCATTGGGCCTAGCTGGGAGATATTGATGATTTATTGAGTAACATCGTCAGTTGCATAAATGTAGGTTGTTTCACTTAATAAACACTAAAATATTTTTATTGATAGTTTCTTTGTAGTGTATTCACTGTTGGCTTGTCCTGATGAGGCTTTCTGCCAGTCTTTTATTTTTATTTGTTTGTTTGAATTTATAATTGTGAATTATTAAATAGTAACGTGACAACAATCGGTCTTCAAGTTAGTTGGGTCATTTTAGGTTAGTCTCTATCTTATATTAATGTTGAAGAAGAAACTAAAAGAAGATATTAGGCATATTTGAAGGTACAGCTTGTGAAGATGAAGTTACTTCTTAAAACTCTAACCCAGGGGTGAAGAATCTGCAGCCTTGAGGCCTCTTGTGGCCCTCTAGGTCCACAACTGTGGCCCTTTGACTGAATTCAAACTTCACAGAACAAATCCTTTTAATGAAAGGATTTGTTCTGTAAAACTTGGACTCAGTCAAAGGTCACACTCAAGAATCTAGAAGGTGACATGTGGTCTCAGGGCCTCAGTTTCTCTAACTCTACCCTAATCTTTAAGAAGATCCTAAAGCAAAATTATTTTTAATTTTAAAAAGTGATATGTCTGTGTTATTGTCTTTCCATGTAGGATGACACTTTTAGATTTGTGCACTCTGGTAAAAATTCAAATTTGGGTAACAAGAAAGAGGAAAATGATAAAGTTTCATAAAACTCTTCCTTGAACAAGATTTCACAATAGGTTTTCAGTCTAACAACTATAATTATTAAGATTGAAAGAATCTTCCATATGTGTCTCTTTGAAAAGAAACCTATTAACTTTGACCTTTGGAGAGATGTGACCTGTCAGATTTCTAACCTGGTATTTTATTGCATGAAACTATTCTGTTTAACTATATAATTGAACTATGTAGAAGAATGACACAGGAATAATTTGATCATATATTATTCTTTTTTTCTGAAAGGGATTACCGACTGAGATGATATGGGTTTAATTGAAATTTTGGGAAAGTCTGTCTCAAGCAAAAACTTAATTTTCTCTCTAGTCTTTGAAAAGTCTTTTTTAAAGAAATAGCCAAGTACAGTGTGGGGCTTTCTCAATAGTTGGATTTTCAACATCTCTAATGATCAATCTGAAATAATATAAGAACTATCTCCCCTCCAAAAAAAAGTTTCCTGTGCAAAAAAAGCACAACTTAAGACTTGACTCCCAATGAAATAACTAACCCATCATAGACATATTGAGTGTAGGTTGCAATGTATTTTCTAACTCAAAATATTGAATAGAAAAAGACAGGCAGATGAGCATTGAAGAAGGCCTAAGTTGGAGATCTAAGAATTAAAACTGAATTTGGCAGACACTTCACATGCATGATTTTTAATTGCACAATAATTTACTTCGGAATCTTGCTAAGTGACCTTCATTATTACAAAGTATTCATAACCATTTCAGGCTATAAATAGATACTTAATGTGTATAATATATCTCATGTCATCTTTTAAAAAGAAAGGAGAAAGAGGGACAAATCATCCACTAGCTAGTAGTCCTTTTGGTTGACTGATATATAGATAAAGAAAACTATCAAATCTTGGATAATTATCCAGATAATTAACTTTGCCTTAGTAAAGGATTCATCAGAGAAGGATTTTTATCTGGAGGTAGCACAGTAGAAAACCCTTGGGTGACAGAAATGTAATTGGGTAGAAGAATTTGTGACTGTATATTTCTCAGCAGACTTTTCATTTGATAATACTTAAAGGGGGAAGAGGGCAATGGTAGCAACTTCATTTATCTTGACCAATATATTATTGTCATCTTCTGTACAATGTGGACTTTGATGGACTATCTTTCTGCATGTAATGTAGTTTAACAGTAACTTGCAAGTGGACAAGATTCAGAAGGCTGTGAGTGTCAATAACTTTGTGATATACATAAAAAGGATTTTTTGGAATAGTGGTCACAAATGTTCCCTTCCTATTAGCATTTTTCTTCCCTATAAAAATTTTGTTCCTAAGACAATTCTCTTTTTATAATTTCATTTTATCTATAACATAATACTAAAGTACCAAATTGAAGGTGTTGATTTCATCCTTTTTTTCACACCAATATGGTAAATGGCACTCATTTTGGAGACAGAAGATCAGGTTTAAATTTCTGCCATGTAAGCACTTATGAACATTAGGCCAGCAATTTTCCCCTGTTTTTCTCATATGTAAAATAGAGTGGGTTATATAAGACTGTCTCTAAAGTTGCCATTCCATAATGCTTACTTTTTGTCTCCTACCCCTTTCTCCAGGTGACATGGTGGATGGTTTGGAGTTAGAAAGACCTGACTTCATATCCATCCTAAAAAACTTATTATATGACCCCTTGGTAATTCACTTAACCTCTATGTGCCTTACTTTCATCATCTGTAAGGTGAATGGTTTGGACACAGTGATTTCTAAGGTCCTTTTCAAGTCCAAATCTGTGATCCTATCACCCTTGGTAAAATATAAACTCCTCCAGGATAGAGGCCAGTGTTTTTGTTTTTGTTTTGTTTTCGGTATTATTTTTTAAATTTGTTTTTATTTGTGTGTGTGTGTGTGTGTTTTATGGTGCAGCATAGTGTGCTACCTGTAGTAAGAAGGGGTATAGTTGATATAGTTGAATCAAATTCTATGAACTTATGCATAGAATATTCTCCTTCTCCTTCCCTACCCCACCCCCATCACAATTGGATTTCTATCTATTCTTTCAAAGTCAACTCACATGCCATCTCCTAAATGGAACGTTATCTGATTGTAATTACCTCCATTTCTAATGGACTTAAGTCACATTTTATATTCTTCATATAAACAGCTTATCTCTTCACAAAGCTATTAATTCCTGGAGAGCAGGGCTTAAGTATTATATAAATTCTGTAACTGCCTGAGGACCTGACAGTGTACTACACACAAGAAGTTCAATATAAATATGTGTTGATATATTTGTTGAATTTCAAATACTGTGATTATGGAACCAACATTGTCCTTTAAACTGCATTTTTCCCCAAACATGTCTTTATCCAAAAAAAAAGGTGTTATGTAATTTTGAAATAAAATTCTTTTACTAAACATGGAAGATTCCATAAAGATATATGAATGGCAAAGATATTTTAAAAAGTCAACAGTTTTGTCTTACAAAACTCTATCTAATAATTGTTTTATGTGTTATAGTTAGGAATATTGGCTGACCTAGATGACTAACGAAATTATTTAATTCTGCTACTTTTTTTTTAGTTGAATATACTCACAACAACATTTCCCTATTGAGAAACAGTGAATAGGTTGCTGTATTCATTTTTAGTGGGTAACTCCATATATTAAATAAAATTAAAGAACTTCTCAAAGGTCCTCATTGAAATGGAAATCCATGTTTAACAATGCATGTAATCAGTTACCCTGCATTTAAACAATTATGATTAAGAATGGTTTAGAAAGTTACTTTGCCTTAGAAAAGCTCATTCTGCTATCAATATTACCTATGAGATGATAAACTCTAGGAAGGATGTAATTTTATTTATATTTCATGAGTTAGGTGTTATAATCTGAATAAAGACAAAATTGATTTAGGCATGCCCTAATTTTTTGACTATCAAATATACTGTGGAGTAATATATTATACAAAATGATTGAGGTAGTATATCAACAAAAGAGCATTGGAGAGTTACATGGTAGTTGTGAGCAAGCTTTTTAAAATTTTTAAATTTAAAATTTGAAAAATAGGCAGAGAAACATTGGTAAGAAGATTGTCAGAGAAATATATAAGTAGAAAATAATGAACTTGTAACAAAATACAAGGGAAAACCTACATGCTATAATACTGTCCCTGCAATGTTAGGAGCTTATAAAAAATAATCCCCACACAGTGATCCTTCTACAGAAAATTTGTGGGAATATATCAAAAAGAGTTTACTCAGAATGGGCAGAGGTATATGGGTTGCGATCTGTGTCTTTACCCATATTAATATGATCATAATTCCACTGGAGCAATGAATAATATGCACTAGGGATTAAAAGAGGAAGGTTTTACTAGCATATTTTTGAGCCAATTGGGCAAATATGGTTTTAGAAAGAATACATGGTTGCATGCATTAATTTCTTAATATGAGAACTGTTTCTTCCCTAGGAAACATTTAATTAAACTATTTGTTTCAAATTACTGTAGAAAGATTGCCAAGCCAATTAAATTTTATTTATATATGTGTGTGTATGTATCTATATATAATAAATGTGTGTATAATATATATAATGTGTGTGTATGTGTGTGTGTGTGTGTGTGTGTGTGTGCATGGATACCATTCCCTATCCATGTAAAGGCATATAACTCATGCCATGGAAGCAAAATTGGAATGTTATTTTTTTAACATCTTGTGTAATTGATTGATCCCACTCTCAAACTTTTACACAGAAATGTTCTCTATGGAGAGGAGGAATAATGCAGAAAATATATTTATATCCTAAAGCTGCAGAACATAAAATTTCAATTCCTAAAAAGAAGTATTTTTCTTTGCTCCTAATATCCCAGAAGTTTTGGTTTATACATAAATAAAACTTATTCAATTGGAGGTCATATTGATGAGGGTATTTTTAACTATATAAAACTGAAAGTGTACCAGGGAATCATCTACCAAA